GTTGTGAGAGGTAGCGGTCGCAGTAGAGATGAATCTCACTCTCACCCGCCCGCAAACCGTGAGGTTATCCCTCCGAGCCACACACACACACACACACACACACACACACACACACACACACACACACACACACACACACACACACACACACACACATACACGCACCAACGCACACACACTGGTCTTGCTGTTGCCACGCTCACCTTGGCTGTGACACCATGCAAATGTGTGCGGGCATGGTGAAACAGGACTTGCTGAAGCAAGGTCCACGTGTTGAGCTAGTTCAGAAGAAGGACGAGCCAAAGCGCACGCCGCGTCCGCTCCACGAACTCCTCCCACCGCACGTCCTGCATCCACCATCACCGCGTCCCGTCCGCGCTCGAGGTCGCGTTCAGCCAACACGCCTGGTTCCCACGAAACCGCACGTGTGCACATGTGCCAGTCGCCGACGCGCCGCCGCCACCGCCGCTGCCACCGCCGCCGCTGATGCTGCTGGCCGCGGTGATAGTGGTGTTGATCGTGTCGACAGCGTTGATGGTGATCGTGGACGTGTGTGATCAGGTGTCCTTCAGATGGACACACACACACACTCGCACACATGTCCTGCTGGCCATGGCTTGGCCATTGACGCCTTTCGTGTTCTCTGTCTGTGATATTTGCAGTCAGTGCAGTTGGTGTTGTCGGTCGCTGTCATCATGCTGTCGCTGTCATCATGCTGTCGCTGTCATGGTCGTGGTGCCACTGGTCGTGGTGTTCGCGGATGGTGTGTTGCATTCCCCCAAACCATTGCCGTTTGTGTCCTTTGTACCTTGATCGTTGATGTCTTCTGTTGTCTCTGGTCGCTGCTGATGCGGCTGCCTCATTGGGGTTGGTGATTGGGCTTGCTTCAATCCAAGCCTTCAAATCCCATCTGTCCATGTTCCTCTGCACGTCATGTTCCCTGTCGGCGGACACATGCACACGCACACGCATACACACATACGGGTGAGAGGTTGTGAGTGAGGACAATGCACACACACAGCACTGCTTCATGCAATGCCCGCAACGGCTCACGAGCAGCTTGCATCAATCGCCTCTGACATCACAATTTGAATCATTTACCTGGCATCGAATTAAACAACAACAAAATGTGTCGTGTGGTTGCGCACATACGAAAGTGAACCTGCCAACAGCCGCCAAAACTCACGCAAGCCATCTTCGCCCACAACAGCAGCGCACACCAGCACGAGAGAAGAAGCCGAGTAGGTTGGGGGATGAAGGGAGGCAAGGGAGAAAGTAGTGTGGTTGTGTGCACCCGTGTGATTGTGTTTCAGGTTGGTGTGAGCGCTTGCGCGGTTGCGTGTATGTGTGGGTGGCTGTGCAAACATGAAGGAGTGCACAGGCACAACCAAGGTCCCACCCAGTGACACTCACACGCGCACGCACAAACGCGCACACGCACACGCGCTCACGTAAACAACCGACCTTGTGCCACAGCGGTTCACTGTACACAGCAGCAGTAGCGACAATCGCACAGACATGGATGACGCCATCCCAACCTTCTACAGCATCGTGAGTGCCTGCAGCGCAATGTGTGTGTGTGTGTGCATGAGTGCGCATGTGTATGCATGTCGTGGAAGCACGTGTGAGCGTGTGTGTGTGTGTGTGTGTGTGTGTGTGTGTGTGTGTGAGCGCGCGTGTGCGTGTGTGTGTGCGTGTGTGCAACAGTGAATCATGGGCACGTCTACAACCCCTTGCACCATCGCTTCTTCGTCACCACTAACGCACACACAACCCACACCCACACACACACAATTCCTCACACCCACCCTGTGTCGTGTACGCACCCTGTGCAGCGGGCGTGGATGCAAACCCAGCAGACGAGTGCTGCGCGTATGCGCGGTCTTCAATCAGTTCATCGCCGCATGGGCCGTCGCCGCCGCCACCGCCACCTTCCTCAATACTGGCTGGTCCTCAATCTTCTTGAGCGGGAGCGCAGTCGCCAACACCAACACCAACAGCGCCATCGTCGCTCGCAGCCGACAGCAGCAGCAACGCCACCGCATGCACCCATGGTGACAGCAGCTGCTGGTACACGCGCCCACGACCCACAGCAGCAACAGCACGTGCCACAAGGGGTCCGTAAACCACTGCAGCAGTACCATGGCGCGACATCACCGCCTGGTTATCCGGGACTCGCTCCCGTTTATGAGCAGATGATGATGATGACGACGATGACACCATTGGCGCCGACGGTGCAGCCGCTCCAGATGTACCAGTCGTTCCCACAGCAGCGCGCTCAACAGCAGCAGCAGCAGCAGCAGCAGCAGCCAGCAACGCACCGCTTCTGCCACCACTGCCACCAGTACCACCATCACGACCACTATCATTTCCACCACCAGGTTGTGGATGGTGGCCAACACGTGGTGGGACTCCGTCTGCCGCTGCCGCAGGGGCACATCGCTCATCCACCGCTGGGCGAGCGGCAGCAGCAGCGTATGCAGGGCGAGATTCTGGGCTCACATCCACACGTGCGGCGCAACGCGGCCGGTGAGCAACACGTCTTTCCCGCGCAGCACATGATGTTGGCTAGTCCTCCTCCTCCACCACCACCACCGCCGCCACCACGCCGCGCTGACAACAGCGGCGGAGACGGCGGCAGTGGCAGTGGCGTTGCTCAGGATGGCGAATGGTGACGATGATGACGATGAAGAAGAAGGGGCATGTGGACGCGTGCTTGCATCAGGCCAGGCCAGTTGTCAAAGGGAACGGGCGGATTGTGGTTTGATTCTCCGCTGCTGTCCTCGTTATGTGTTGGTGTCTGTGCTTGTGTCGGCCTCTCTGCGTCGATGGTCTTCAGCTTCTTCGTCTCCTCTTTTCCTGTCGTGTGTGCTGTTGTCGTTCAT